GGAGGGGAGGCGGGGGTACGGCGCCGCTGCGAAGGCGCGCTATGAAGTCACAGGAGGTGGATTTGGGACAGGTGCGTCTGAGGGGGAGTAACCAAGTGCTTCGGTGTGAGGTAAGAGAATGAAAGGGATACGATTGTAGAAAGGGTTTGCAACAATTTAATTCAATGAAATGATAAATATTGTACGAATGACAAAGGTAAGACAATATTTGCAAGAAATATAATTCGGAGACTTTAAATATAAGCCGGGAACTAGCCAAGAAACAAAATTTACAATGCTTCAAATATGACGTACTTTTGTCATTATATTGGTTCAAGCCGGGAGATTGACAAAAGAAATAAAACCTTCCCAGAGTTTTTTATAATATAAGTCGTAAAAAACTATTGTCACAATATAAAGGACTTACTAGAGCATGGGAGGGAGAGAAGGGTGGTTGAAAATGGGGAGGAGGCGAGGGGCAGAGAGAGAGAGAGAGACAAATATAGGCCAACTGTAGAGATTGAAAGACGTAGTTAGTGGTCATTATTATGTTGTGTATCTAAGAAATAAATTGTAAAATTAAAAATAAATCGAAGATGAAGTAAGGAGAGTAAGAGAAGAAATTCAACTTTAAAACGGGATACAAGTGTATGTGCAAGGGATGGAATTCAAAAAGGATGTCATTCAACAATACCATGGCATCGAGCGCATTAGTGGTAGAACAACCGGGAGCGCATTGCAAGAAGGCCTCCCTGCCCTCGAAAGCGGCCTGGCAGCAGCAGCAGAAGGCGGATAGGGGAGGGGGAGGGGCGTCGGAAGGAAGCTATGATTGGCGGAGAGGACGCTCGCGGCCGCCGGCGCAGCGGGGCAGTCGGAGCGGAACCCAGCGCACAGTGACTCAGAAAACGAAACAGCAGGCGGGGGCGGCGAGCGGTTGCGTAAGAGCGGAGAGCACGCGTTACGACAGGGCGAGGCGCTTCGCCGAGCACGCGCGGGGCGGAACCGGAGCGGCGCGGCGCGGCGCGGCGCGGGCGCACGCCGTCTCGCGTGCCCGCCCGGCAGCACGCCCCGTTCGTTCGCCGCGACCCACTGGGCTCGAGCGCGAAGCCCCACACGCCAACCGCTTGGACGGGATTAGGGAGTGCTTAGGTGCAGCAGGATCGCCATCAGCTGCAGATTTTTTTCTGTAAATGCTTACCTTAGTAGAGCTATGCGCTTGACTGCTTTAGGTTCATAAGACACCGCAACTTCAGAACACAAGATTCTATTTTGCTTAAAAAGCATTTTGGCAGGATGGCAATTTGAATATATGGAGATGTCTACCAATGGTAGAATTAAATCTCAAATGGAACATTAATGTTATTCATAAACGGTATTCTACAAGTCTGATTTTTAACTGTTTTAATATGATGCAGTAAAATCTCTATAAACCGGAACCTGTACAAGGCGGAAACCTGTCCTAAGCGGAAAATTTCCTCGGTCCGTGGAGTTAAATCTGTTCAACGCGGAAACAGAACAGTTTTCATGTCTTGCGGAGGAAGATAAACTTTTATTTTTTGTCCCAAAAGATTCGAGAATACTTCTTGCACACTTCTGCACTCTCTTGGGTATATGCAAACACATTTACTTCGTTTTTAACAGAATAACTTCATCTCACGTGTAATTCAATTTCCGTTCAGGAGCTACATATTAAAAACTCAATATTCTTTTTCTTCTTCTTCGCTTTACGTCTCGTCACTTCACCGTGAGGCGTGGCCTCTTCCGAATTCACTCGAGTTTTTCGTCTTTTTGAAGATTATTCAGTCTTTCCTCTAGGTGTGTAATATCTAATTATTTTTGGCAATCGGTACTCCCTATTCTTTCAAAATACAATGATAAATAGCAGGGTTAGTAACAGCAATTTGTACTTGAACTTTTGTGCGATATTTATACTTCAAATTTGGCGTCGCTAATTTCTGCAAGAATTTCAGTCAATAATTGTTTCCATTGTTTCAAGAGCTGAGTATACAGCTTACATATGAACTCAAGGCAACTTGCAGAAACATTCTTATCCCCAAATTACTTCAAAGATATTTTAGTAACAACTGATAAAATTGGAAACAATTAATACACATTTTAATTTTTTTTCTGTCATTTTACATCAGTTAAGGTTTTAAAACGAAGTTCACATTTACTTAACGAAGATACAGTTCAACGTGTTACCTCAAGGTTCAGAGAAAGGAAATAAGTTTGTTGCTTTTACACTGTACGTTACATGCATACTTAGAAAATTCATTCACTTCTACTGTACTTGTATTGTGTGGAGTTAACTGGTCGTTATGCTTATGGGTGCAGAACGCTTTAGTTTGTAACAAGTTCTACGTCAAATGCTGGGAAAGCAGAGTTTCTCTTATGCCTGCAAACTTGAAGGGAAATCAGATCGTGATACCTATTAGGCGCTGGAATGTTTCTTCACCAGATTCAATCGAGATGAGAAAATCAATAAAATGTGAATGAATTGCATAGGTAAAATAAATATACATCGTATACAAATGTAGTATGATTCCTACCCGAATGTCGCCTACCTACCTTAAATACACTTATTATTCTTCATACGTACAAAATATCAAATGAAAAACACTGGTTATATGACATTTTACTTTTATTTAATACTCTAAGAATAATATTCCGTTTTACCAATAGAAAACCGAAAAATTAAGAAATTTAAAAAAAAATTACTTTGAATGTAAAAGATGGCAGCGGGTAAGAGTATGTAGCACGTCAGAATTGCTAGCCGAAATCAAAAGAAATAGTCTGTCCCATTCTGTAGCACCACTAGTTTTTTATGTATGTCATTATGTCACATAAGCAAAATCATCACCTTCATGGGAGTTACGCTTATCAAATACATTTGTAAGGATGGATAGAACGGAAGATTTCCTTACTCAAG